AGGCTGAGGCAGGACAATCACTTGAACCCGGGAGGTGAAGGTTGCAGTGAGCCAAGATTGCACCATTGCATTCCAGCCTGGGTGACGGAGTTAAGACCCTGTCGAATGAATGAATAATTGAATGTATTACTCCCAAGTTCTAGAAGTAGCCGATTAGTCATGTTTGTAGTAAAGTGACTTTTCATCTTTATAAATATTTTAGAAAAAAGCAGGGAGATGGTTTACAGAAGCTGTTGTCATAAGTTATTTGGAGCTAACAGTTAGAAATCCTGCTCTAAATACATTGCTTTAAAGTCCACATTTGTAGGTATCATTACACCCATTTGCCAGACAAGAAAACTAAAAGGTCATGTTCTTAAGGCTTCATAGCTGCAGGAAAAGGCAAAAGTTGCTCTGAAACTCAGGTCTTTGGACTCAGAATGCAGTTTTTCTTCTACCCTCTGTCATCTTTGCCTTGATATTAAGACATGACTTCTGATCAGAAGAGCATCTCAGAATTCTGTCCTCCCCCAGCAGGAGTAACTGCAATGGTTTGGCTGCTAAATATATGTATCAGCCCTGTGAACACCAGAGGGAATGTTACAAGAGAGGGCAGAGAAGGCTTGCCATAGCCAGGTGCTTGTTGGTAGGTCTAGAAGCTCATGTTTTGAAAGAGGTCAACCTAAGCTAATAGTAAGTAGACATATTAATGCACTGATAGTATCTTCAGATCATGGTTTCCTACTGGAAAATGGGATGGGGGGAAGCAGTAATGGTTATCTGGCAAAATTTTATAAATGATCATTTTCCAATGATAGTTTGTTTGGGGACCGGGGCTGGGGGAGAGAAGACAATCTTGCTTTGTTGCCCAGACTGGAGTGCCATGGCCTCGTCTCAGCTCACTTGAACCTCCGGTTCAAGCAATTCGCCTGCCTCAGCCTCCTGAGTAGCTGGGATTATAGGCATATGCCACCATGCCTGGCTAACTATTGTGTTTTTAGTAGAGATGGGGGTTTCACCACATTGGCCAAGCTGGTCTTGAACTCCTGACCTCAAGTGATCCACCTGGCTGGGCCTCCCAGAGTGCTGGGATTACAGATATGAGCCACTGTGCCCAGCTCCAAATTATTTCAATTAGTTAATAAGGAGCTCCTCTTTTTGGTAAAATGATGAAGCAAATATTTCTTTTTTTTTTTTTTTTTGAAGACGGAGTTTCGCTCTTGTTACCCAGGCTGGGGCGCAATGGCGCGATCTCGGCTCACCGCAACCTCCGCCTCCTGGGTTCAGGCAATTCTCCTGCCTCAGCCTCCTGAGTAGCTGGGATTACAGGCACACGCCACCATGCCCAGCTAATGTTTTGTAGTTTTAGTAGAGACGGGGTTTCACCATGTTGACCAGGATGGTCTCGATCTCTTGACCTCGTGATCCACCCGCCTCGGCTTCCCAAAGTGCTGGGATTACAAGCGTGACCCACCGCGCCCGGCCGAAGCAAATATTTCTATAGTAATATTTATATACTGGGTACTTTATGATTAATGTGATTTTTTGGTTTTTTTGAGACAGAGTCTGTCTCAGTTATTCAGGCTGGAGTGCAGTGGTGCGATCATTGGCTCCCTGCAACTTCTGCCTCCCAGGTTCAAGGGATTCTCCTTCCTCAGCCTCCCAAGTGACTGGGTACAGGCATGTGCCACCACACCCAGCTAATTTTTGTATTTTTAGTGGAGACGGGGCTTCACCATATTGGCCAGGTTGCTCTTGAACTCCTGACCTCAGGTGATCCACCTCCCTCAGTCTCCCAAAGTGCTAGGATTACAGGCATGAGCCACTGTATCCAGCCTAATTTGATTTAATATTTATTTTTTGTACAGAATGTTTCAACAGCAAACAGAGATTAGACATTTATAACAGAATTCTAGTTTGTCTACAGACTTACATATAATGGCAAATCATCACTTGGTTTTCCTTTTTTTTTTTTGAGATTGGAGTCTCACTGTGTCTCCCAGGCTGGAGTACAAGGACGAAATCTCAGCTCACTGCAACCTCTGCCTCTTGAGTTCCAGTGATTCTCCTGCCTCAGCCTCTCAAGTAGCTGGAATTGCATGCGTGGGCTACCACGCCCAGCTAATTTTTGTATTTTTAGTAGAAACAGTATTTTACCATGTGTGGCCCAGGCTGGTCTTGAACTCCTGAGCTCACGTGATCTGCTTGCCTCAGCCTCCCAAAGTGCTGGGATTACAGACATGAGCCACTGCTCCCCAGCCTTGGTTTTCTGTGTAAAACAATTTGCATTGTTCTTAGCCATGAATAAGATCCCCAAGTAATACAGAAATATTTCTATCTTAGGCTTTTACTTGAACTTGCTTTCTTTTTTCTATAGGAGGTGCTCATCTTTCAACCACATGTCACCATCCTCCTCATGCTCATCTTGTAAGTATTTCCCTTGACTTCTTGGAATGTTGATCCCTTTGTCATACCTAGTAGATCTGGTCAGAGCTCCGTCTTACAGAGTGTTCTGAATACAGTTTTCTAATAAGGAAAAGAAAATATTTACATGCGGGAGAAAATTGTCTTTAATAGGTGATTCGTTAAAGGAATTTTTTTTTCTTTTTTTTTTTTTTTTTTTTGAGACAGCGTCTCACTCTGTCATCCAGGTTGGACTGTAGTGCCTCAGTCTTGGCTCACTGCAACCTCTGCCTCCCGGGTTCAAGTGATGCTCCTGCTTCAGCCTCCCAAGTAGTTGGGATTACAGGCCTGCACCACCACACCTGGCTAATTTTTGTATTTTATAGAGACAGGGTTTCACTACGTTGGCCAGGCTGGTCTCTAACTCCTGACCTCAGGCAATCCTCCTGCCTCAGGCTCCCAAAGTGCTGGGATTACAGGTGTGAGCCAGCATGCCGACTTGTTAGAAGAATTTTTAAAGCCTATCTTTATGACTTTCATGCTGATGTAATTATCATTTATTTGTTGGTTGGATGTGTGTTCCCTTCTTCATTGCAATAGGGACTTGTGGCATCCTACAAAAATGCAATGCAATAAAACGTAAACCTCAAATAGAAAGGAAAAGGAAAATAAAGGGAGAAACTGTCCACATAGCCTATAAAATGTCACCTTCAAAAAAATCTGTCAGCATTCTTGTCTTTGTGTCCTATGTAGAAACCCTTTAGTTGATGCCTAAACACGGATGTGTATTTCTTGGACTCAATGCTCCCTGCAAAAATAAATGTTTCTAACAGTGTAAAAGAATGGGGGGCAGGGATTGGTGGCAGGCACCTGAATCCCAGCTACTCAGGGGGCTGAGACAGGAGAATTGCTTGAGCTTGGGAGGTGGAGGTTGCAGTGAGCCAAGATCACACCATTGCACTCCAGCCTGGGTGACAGAGGGAGACCCATCTCCAAAAACAAAATTAATGAAAAAATGAACTTTGATACTTGCCTCATACTGATCTGCTTCTACTCTTGCTGCTTTTTCTCTCTTCTCAACAGAGTGGTTGATTATTTAAAACACAGAGTGATGCTTTAAAACAGAAGTCAGCTCATGCCACTGTTCTGCAAAGCCCTTTAATTTATCCAAAATAATATCTGCATTCCTTTCAACTGCCTGACAGATGACACTCTGCCAGCCCTGGGATCTTATTGATCCCCCTCCTGCCACCAGTGCTACTCTAGCTTCCTTGGCCTCCCTCAGACAGAACCAGCTGGCTATGGGCTTGGGGGCCTTTGCAGTCCTCACATGCCATCACTAACACATGGGCAGAGTGCGCGCTCTCTCCCTTTATTCAACTCTCAGCAAAAATGTCCTTTTCATCAGGCATAGTGCCTCGTGCCTGTAATCCCAGCACTCTGGAACGCCAAGGCAGGAGGATCACTTAAGCTAGGAGTTCTAGACCAGCTTGGGCGACATAGCAAAATCCTGTCTCTATAAAAAAGTGAAAAAAGGCTGGGTGCAGTGGCTCATGCCTGTAATCCCACCATTTTGGGAGGCTGAGGTGGCAGATCACTTGAGGTCAGGAGTTTGAGACCAGAATGGGCAACGTGGTGAAACCCCATCTCTACTAAAAATACAAAAATGAGCTGGGTGTGGTGGTGTGCTCCTGTAGTCCCAGCTACTCAGAAAGCTGAGCCAGGAGAATTGCTTGAACCCAAGAGGAGGCTACAGTGAGCCCAGGTGGCACCACTGTACGGTAGCCAGGGTGACAGTGAGACTCAGTCTCAAAAAAGAAAAGTAGCCAGGCATGGTGGTATGTGCCTGTAGTCCCAGCCACTTGGGAGGCTGAGGCAGGAGGATCACTTGAACCCAGGAGGTCAAGGCTGCAGGGAGCTATGATTGTGCCACTGCACTCCAGCCCAGGTGACAGAGTGACTCCTCATCTTAAAAAATCCTCCCCTTACCACTGAATACCATCCATGATAGGCACTTTCTATTTGCTTAGCCTCATTTTTTCTTGATAGCACTTATTTAATGCATGACATAATTTATCTGCCTCCACCAACACAGAGGCTCGACAAGGCTAGGAACTTGGCTCCTTGTGCTCCTTGCTGTATTCGGTTCTCCAGAACATTCTTAGCACTTTATAGATGTTTAACAATTTATTGAATGACTGATACAAATACACTAATGTAAATCCTGAATCTCAGTAATATAATATGCAGCTTTCTTGAAGCTGTTTGAGCACAGAATTTTTGAACAGAAATGCCTGTTATCTCATAGGACATGGGGGTTTCAGAGCAATTTGGAAAACACTGCCTTAATTATTCCTTAAATGGTAAAATCAGATTTTGCCTTTTCCTTTACGTATTTTTATCTTTTAGTCCAAGATGCTGTGTCATCCCATCAGCCCATTCTCTTCAGTACTACCAAAAATCACAGCACAGGTAACGCCAGTCACATCTGAACCCAGCAGCCAGCCTCTTCCTGCGAGAACAGAGCCCACCAGTCCTGTGTCTGTCACACGTGCTGGTCAGTCTCAGATGGAAACGGCTTCAAGCCCAGAGGAAGACACCCATCCAAATAGCTTCACCTCTCATCGCCCAGCATCACTGCAGAACGCGTCTGGTCAGGTAAACATGGGAAATGCAAGTACAACTAGGTAGCTCTGTGACAGTGAAAAAGCAGTTGGTTTCCCATTTGCCTCCCTGCAGAGCTGCACCTAAGAAAACCTGACAGACCAGCATGTATGCCAATCCAAAGCCAAAACTAAACAAGGCCATGGAAACAGCCTACAATTTGGTGGCACACATACGGCCCAGCATTTCATTAAATACTGAAATATTCTCATTTCACTATTTAATGATATTATTTAATGCTATTGTATTTAATGCTTCAGATGGACAAGAAGTTTTGTTTACCTGCCCTGCTTTTTCAGCAGCAACAAACTTCTAGAGAATTCCTTCTACTCGCCACCCTGACTCTTTTCACCTTGTTTCCTTCCTCCCAAAAACACAGACAACAAGGTAGCCAGACACAGTGAGTCACACCTGTTGTCATCCCAGCATTTGGGAGGCCAAGGTGCGGGGATCACTTGAACCCAGGAGTTTGAGACCAGCCTGGGCAATGTAGTAAGATCTTGTCTCTACTAAAATTCAAAAAAAAATTATCCAGGTGTGGTGGCATGCACCTGTAGTCCCAGCTACTTGGGAGGTGCAGGTGGCGGTGGCGGTGGATCTCTTGAGCCTGGGAGGTCCAGGCTGCAGCAAGCTGTGATTACACCACTCTACTCTAGGCTGGGCGACAGAGCAAAACTGTCTCAACAAAAGAAAAAAAAAAGACAAAGCCCCTTTGACAGTATTGACTGAAGAAAATAATCCTCCTTCACCTACCCTTTTTTCCCCCCCAAACTCAAAAGAGCCCTGTTTATATGCAGCCAAACATTTCCCTGCTAAAAACATAATCCTGTTGACCCTGGATCTGCCTGCAGTGGTGATGGAAATTAGGGGTTCTGCTGAGGGGAGAAACTGACCTACAGGAGTTTAAACAAAGAGGGATTTTTTTTTTTTCTTAAAGAGAAATCTGAAATATAGGGTAGCCAAAGGAATCTATGATTATTAGAAATATTAAGAGAATTTAGCAGTATTCAGCATGTAATCAAGTTTGATTGACGATGTGATTGATTTAAGCTGGGAGTGAGCTGTTCTCCAGAACTGGAACGCGTAGTTGGCGTTAATGGTGATCGTCTCAGGGCCAGGCTTCCAGTTCAAATGCAGTAGCCACTTAGCTTTGGGATAGCGGCTAGTTTGCTCAGTTTCTTTTTTCAGGAGGTTTTCTGCTTCCCCCGCCTCCTGCTATGAGGCATTTTAGGTCACTCCCTCTTGAATATGAACGCTTGTTTTCCGGGACAGAGTCTTGCTCTATTACCCAGGCTGAAGTGAAGTGGCACAGTCTTGGCTCACTGAAACCTCCGCTTCCCAGGTTCAAGTGGTTCTCCTGCCTCAGCCTCCCGAGTAACTGAGACTACAGGCATATGTGGTCTCAGTTAATTTCTGTATTTTTAGTAGAGAGAGGGTTTCGCCATGTTGGCCGGGCTGGTGTTGAACTCCTGACCTCAAGTGATCTACCTGTCTTGGCCTCCCAGAGCGCCAGCATTACAGGTGTGAGCCACTGTGCCTGCCTTAAATATAAACACTTGAATGGAGGGAAACGCGCACAGAGGGAAGCCTGAAAGGAAAACATACTTCTGAACAGAAAAGTTTGGTTTTAGCTTTTTGATGTCCGTATTTCCCTCATCTTTGCTCACGGCCTTAAAACTTAAAGTTACTGCTATAAATCCCATTTCCAGACTCATTTGCCCTTGGAGCAACCATTGTATACCTCATTTTTCATTTTCTCTATCATATGGAAAATGTATAAATTGTGTCCACTTGCAGAAAACTTCTGAAAGTAATCACTGTTTCAGAGAGCTGTGATTCGTAGAGTTTATAATGTTATTCATGGTCAGCTTTGGTTAAAACAATCTTTCCGACTACTACAGTACACTAATTTTATGTAAGTAATTTTGGCAAAATTCTTTGTTCTCTATAGGTCATAGATGAGATAGTAGGAAACTTCAGCAGAGCTGTTCATGGTTTGCAAGCTCATAACAAACTGCAGGAAGCTTGTGAGGTACTCCAGAAACTAACAGCCTTGACCCCGAGATTTTCTAAGCCAGCTCAGGTAAGCAGAGGGTGACTGGGAGGGAAGAAGATAGGAAAGAGGGAAAAGTGAAAAACAGAAAAAGAGAATCTAAGGCTGGGTGTGGTGGCTCACGCCTATAATCCCAGCACTTTGGGAGGCCAAGGCGGGAGGATCACATGAGGCTGGGAGTTAGAGAACTGACTGGGCAACATGGCGAAACCCATCTCTACTGAAAAAGAAAAATTCAAAAATTAGCTGGGCTTGGTGGTGGGCACTTGTAATCCCAGCTATTCAGGAGGCTGAGGGACAAGAATCACTTGAACCCAGGAGGCGGAGGCAATGAGCCGTTATCACACCACTGCACTCCAGCCTGGGTGGCAGACAGAGACTCTGTCTCAAAAAAGAAAAAGAGAATCTTGAGATTGTACCCTGTGCCAAGCTTAACATTATAAAGATTGTGTTTAAATTTTAACAAGCAAATTTTTACCTTTAAATCTGGAAAGTTAAGAATTAAATTGGTCAGTAGTGACATTCTTGGATATACTGTGTTTATGTTCATTTGTTCATTAATCAGGTTACTGCCTTGCTGTGGCCTTTGTAAGAAGTGTGCCGGCATTCAGCCAGGCACGGTGGCTCATGCCTGTAATCCCAACATTTTGGGAGGCCAAAGCAGGTGGATAGCTTTAGCCCAGGAATTCAAGACCAGCCTGGGCAACATGGTGAAACCCCATTGCTATCAAAAATTCAGCAATTAACTGGGCGTGGTGGTGTGCGCCTGCAGTTGCAGCTATTCGGGAGGCTGACATGGGAGGATGGCTGGAACTTGGAAGGTGGAGGTTGCAGTATGCCAAGACTGCACCACTGCACTCCAGCCTGGGCAACAGAGCCACACCCTGTCTCAAAAAGACAAAAAAACCTCAGCATTGCTCTTTTCTTCAGCATTTCTTTTTTCAGTCTGGTGTTGTTAATTGGATATTTTGTCTACTTACTACTCAAAAATAATTGTCAGTTCGTCAGAATAATATGAAATATAAATCCTCCCTTATAGGTCATATGAAGTAATATATTCTCCTTCCCTGCCAAATTGTAACATTGTTTTTTATAAAATGCACATTTAAAATAGTCATGTGCTGGGTGTGTTGCTCATGCCTGTAATCTAAACACTTTGGGAGACCAAGTCAGGGGGATCTCTTGGAGCCGGGTGTTTGAGGCCAGAGTGGGCAACACAGTGAGCCCCCACCTCTACAATAATTTTTAAAAATTAGGTGTGATGGTGTACACCTGTAGTCCTAGCTACTGGGGAGGCTGAGGCAGGAGGATTGCTTGAGTCCAGGAGTTTGAGACTGCAGTGAGTCGTGATTGTTCCACCGCACTCCAGCCTGGGCAACAGAGCAAGACCCCATCTCTTAAAAGTAAAATTTTCAAAAGCAATCATAAACAGTTCAGGGATGTATGTTTGCTTTCTGATACTCCCAGGTTCATCTCATCAATTCCCTTATTTACCTGAGTGAACAGTTCCTGAGGATCCCATTTCAGAACAATAGCAGTCTGGGCTTCAAAGTTCCTGCGACTATCTGCCTCTTTCATTATTTCAACAATGTCATCAAAGCTGGAGAAGGAAGTTGGCAGGGATCCAAGCGTGACCCTGAGCAGGTAGGTACCAGGTATGCAGGTAGCCAAATCTGCTTAGAAGCATTTTAATCTTGGCAGGTCCAGGTATCACAGCCTCTCCCCAGACCTTTCAAGAGGACCTTGCAGAAGTATGTGCTGCACAAGAAACCACCTGCCGAGCCTTCTCTGGGGTCTCTCTCCCCACCCCACCAGTTAGCCAAGACTCCCTAGTGCTACAATCAAGTGAAAAGGAGTTAGGGGCTGGGGTTCGGTGGCTCATGCCTGTAATCCCAGCACTTTGGGAGGCCAAGGAAGGTAGATCACCTGAGGTCAGGAGTTTGAGACCAGCCTGGCCAACATGGCAAAACCGCATCTCTACTAAAAAAAAAATTAGCCAGCCATGGTGGCAGGTGCCTGTAATCCCAGCTACTCAGGAGGCTGAGGCAGGAGAATCAGTTGAACATGGGAAGCGGAGGTTGCAGCGAACTGAGATCATGCCACTGCATTCCAGCCCAGGCAACAGAGTGAGATGTCATTGGGGGAAAAATGACTTAGGAAAGTGTTGGCATGCAGCAAACACTGAATAACTTACGTTTGCTATTCACATGAAAAGATGTTCCACATCGTTGGTCATTAGGGAAATGCAAATCAAAGCCAAAGTGAGATACTACTTCACACTCAAAACAGAAAATAACAAGTACTTGCAAGGATGCTGAGAACTTGCAACCCCATCCATTGTTGGATTGTAAAATGATGCAGCCACTTTGGAAAACAGTTTGGCAGTTGCTTAAAATGTAAAAAATAGGCCGAGCGCAGTGGCTCATGTCTGTAATCCCAGCACTTTGGGAGGCCAAGGTGGATGGATCACAAGGTCAGGAGTTCGAGACCAGCCAGCCAATATGGTGAAATCCTATCTCTACTAAAAATACAAAAAAAA